GCGCACTACCTAATATGTCCCAGATGCCGCGTACCCGTCACTAGATTAACAATTTGTCCCAGGTTCCACGTACCCGTCAGTAGATTAACAATATGTCCCAGGTTCCACGTACCCGTCAGTAGATTAACAATTTGTTCCAGGTGGAGCGTACCCGTCCTGGATGGAGGGAGACCTGCCAGCACCTGAAGATGGTGAGGTGGAGAGGACAGCTAAGTTTGGCTCAACTACACACGTCATCAAGATCAGAGTAAAGGACTGCGGAGAGCACTACGTATACTGGCTCCAGCCTACTCCTAACTACCACTACGTGTGGAGTGTTGGTACGTTATCTTAATTAGTACACTACGTATACTGGCTCCAGCCTACTCCTAACTACCACTACGTGTGGAGTGTTGGTACGTTATCTTAATTAGTACACTACGTATACTGGCTCCAGCCTACTCCTAACTACCACTACGTGTGGAGTGTTGGTACGTTATCTTAATTAGTACACTACGTATACTGGCTCCAGCCTACTCCTAACTACCACTACGTGTGGAGTGTTGGTACGTTATCTTAATTAGTACACTACGTATACTGGCTCCAGCCTACTCCTAACTACTACTACGTGTGGAGTGTTGGTACGTTATCTTAATTAGTACACTACTGTATACTGGCTCCAGCCTACTCCTAACTACCACTACGTGTGGAGTGTTGGTACGTTATCTTAATTAGTACACTACGTATACTGGCTCCAGCCTACTCCTAACTACCACTACGTGGTGGAGTGTTGGTACGTTATCTAATTAGTACACTACGTATACTGGCTCCAGCCTACTCCTAACTACCACTACGTGTGGAGTGTTGTACGTTATCTTAATTAGTACACTACGTATACTGGCTCCAGCCTACTCCTAACTACCACTACGTGTGGAGTGTTGGTACGTTATCTTAATTAGTACACTACGTATACTGGCTCCAGCCTACTCCTAACTACCACTACGTGTGGAGTGTTGGTACGTTATCTTAATAGTACACTACGTATACTGGCTCCAGCCTACTCCTAACTACCACTACGTGTGAGTGTTGGTACGTTATCTTAATTAGTACACTACGTATACTGGCTCCAGCCTACTCCTAACTACCACTACGTGTGGAGTGTTGGTACGTTATCTTAATTAGTACACTACGTATACTGGCTCCAGCCTACTCCTAACTACCACTACGTGTGGAGTGTTGGTACGTTATCTTAATTAGTACACTACGTATACTGGCTCCAGCCTACTCCTAACTACCACTACGTGTGGAGTGTTGGTACGTTATCTTAATAGTACACTACGTATACTGGCTCCAGCCTACTCCTAACTACCACTACGTGTGGAGTGTTGGTACTTATCTTAATTAGTACACTACGTATACTGGCTCCAGCCTACTCCTAACTACCACTACGTGTGGAGTGTTGGTACGTTATCTTAATTAGTACACTACGTATACTGGCTCCAGCCTACTCCTAACTACCACTACGTGTGGAGTGTTGGTACGTTATCTTAATTACCCATTAAGTTTAACCCTGCAATAAATCTGTTACGTTTGGAGTGTTATCTTAATAACGTAAGTAATGTTAAACAAGTTCGATCTGCTAGGAGTTACGCAGAAAAAGACTTGGTGTTGAAATTTACAATAAGGCTATTCTTCACAAATAAATTTCCTTGAAGTTAAATTAAATATACAACTAGACTATTGTTAATGAAACTGTACCCATGTTGATGAAATCCTCCCTGGCAGATACTGATGTGTGCCTGCACGCTAACACCCACTATCAGAGGATGGGAGGAACCAGTTTACGTGTCCGAGTCACAAGACGACCTACACCCCGACTACAACAAGGGTAACACTGTAACACTGTAACACTGTAACACTGTAACACTGTAACACTGTAACACTGTAACACTGTAATACTGTAACACTGTAATACTGTAATACTGTAACACTGTAACACTCTTATAATTTAAATTATTACAATCGCCTTCTGTTGCTTGGATTAACGTTATAACTGACCATTGAAGAACGTTTAGTGATACTGATTATTGATGTGTGAATACACCAGGTAAGGATTGGTACAGATTCACTACTGGATTCCAGATGATGGCTGAGAAGCCTCCTGCCCCTCATTACTCGTGTGGTGCCAAGCGTGCTGCTTACATCAACCAGGTAACCAAGGGCAACCAGGTAACCAGGGTAACCAGGTAACCAGGTAACAGGTAACCAGGTAACCAGGTACCAGGTAACCAGGTAACCAGTAACCAGGTAACCAGGTAACCAGGTAACCAGGTAACCAGGTAACCAGGTAACCAGGTAACCAGGTAACCAGGTAACCAGTAAACCAGGTAACCAGTAACCAGGTAACCAGGTAACCAGGTAACCCAGGTAACCAGGTAACCAGGTAACCAGGTAACCAGGTAACCAGGTAACCAGGTAACCAGGTAACCAGGTAACCAGGTAACCAGGTAACCAGGTAACCAGGTAACCAGGTAACCAGGTAACCAGTAACCAGGTATCCAGGTAACCAGGTAACCAGGTAACCAGGTAACCAGGTAACCAGGTAACCAGGTAACCAGGTAAACAGGTAACCAGGTAACCCAGGTAACCAGGTAACCAGGTAACCAGGTAACCAGGTAACCAGGTAACACTGGTTAATTTACTTCTTTTAATTAGTTGGTTAGACTTTTAATTCTTTTATCTCAATAAACTATATGTCCGACCACACTAAAGTTAACACTGTGTCACACTAAAGTTAACACTGTGAGCACACTAAAGTTACACTGTGACCACACTAAAGTTAACACTAGTGACCACACTAAAGTTAACACTGTGACCACACTAAAAGTTAACACTGAGACCACACTAAAGTTAACAATGTGTCGACACTTAAGTTAACACTGTGACCACACTAAAGTTAACAATGTGTCGACACTAAAGTTAACACTAGTGACCACACTAAAGTTAACCACTGTGACCACACTAAAGATAACATAACTTGTGACCACACACACTAAAGTTAACAATGTGTCGACACAAAGTTAACAAACACTGTGACCACACTAAAGTTAACACTGTGTCCACACTAAAGTAACACTGTGACCACGCTAAAGTTAACACTGTGTCCACACTAAAGTATAACCCTGTTCCCACACTAAAGTTAACATGTGTCCACACTGAAGTTAACACTGTGACCACACTTAATTAACACTGTCTCCACACTAAACAACTAACGATACACAATTTCTAGGGTCACCCTAATTCGAGGATGGAGTGGTTACAGAGAAGTGTGCATAAAGACTGACAGCGAGGGGGCTTAACCAGGGGCGAGTACTAGTAAGGGAGAATATACCGGGTGCAGAAACTGCTGGAGATTACTACGCTTACCACTCAACCCAGTGGTCCAGGACATGGCATACTGTGAATATAGTGAGTTATCTAAACATACGTCCAGTTATATTTAGTTCACTTTCCTCGGCCTCAACCACAACTTACTACCAGAATTCTATTTTTCCTGTCAATCTAATTGAAGCTCTGTTCAGACCGAACGACCTCGTGTGAGCCTAAAGTGTACCCACGCTAAATACGGAGAGCTGGCCGTGGTGAACTGTACCCCTCAACTCGGAGAAAGATTTCGATTCCAGCGAGGGTGGAGTGGACCAGTTAAACCTCGGTTAAACTGCCTGCTGACGGTCTCAGTAACATAGGTACACACTATTTATCATCTTATTTTACTATTTATTCTATCAGAAGACCGATCAGTAATTTATGTTAGATTGTGATTCTGTATCCGAGTTAATGGATTCACACTACCATGTAGCCAACAAGGCAAAGCATATACCTTGATGCCCACAATACACCCTAACATCACCTAAAATTTACCCTATTTTCAGAAATGTCAGACGACAAAATGTTGCTGAACATCAATAATATTGCTGATCAGAACGCGGGAGTGTACGCTATGTTTATACCCAGCACTGAAACCAGCGAACTAGTAGAGGTCATCTTGTCACAGTGAGTACACTATTCAGCATATTCATTATCTTTCCTTTTAATTGAAGGTAATGACTCAAATTAATAACATGCTAATCATTGCTAATTAGCCAGCTAATTATCCAGCTAATTATTCAGTTGTTAACTAAGCTGGTTATTCAGTTGTTAACTAAGCTAATTATTCAGTTGTTAACTAAGCTGGTTTATTCAGTTGTTAACTAAGCTGGTTATTTCAGTTGTTAACTAAGCTGGTTATTCAGTTGTTAACTAAGCTGGTTATTCAGTTGTTAACTAAGCTGGTTATTCAGTTGTTAATTAAGCTGGTTATTCAGTTGTTAACTAAGCTGGTTATTCAGTTGTTAATTAAGCTGGTTAGTTCAGTTGTTAACTAAGCTGGTTATTCAGTTGTTAACTAAGCTGGTTATTCAGTTGTTAACTAAGCTGGTTATTCAGTTTGTTAACTAAGCTGGTTATTCAGTTGTTAACTAAGCTGGTTATTCAGTTGTTAATTAAGCTGGTTATTCAGTTGTTAATTAAGCTGGTTATTCAGTTGTTAATTAAGCTGGTTATTCAGTTGTTAACTAAGCTGGTTATTCAGTTGTTAACTAAGCTGGTTATTCAGTTGTTAACTAAGCTGGTTATTCAGTTGTTAACTAAGCTGGTTATTCAGTTGTTAATTAAGCTGGTTATTCAGTTGTTAATTAAGCTGGTTATTCCAGTTGTTAACTAAGCTGGTTATTCAGTTGTTAATTAAGCTGGTTATTCAGTTGTTAATTAAGCTGGTTATCAGTTGTTAACTAAGCTGGTTATTCAGTTGTTAATTAAGCTGGTTATTCAGTTGTTAACTAAGCTAATTATTCAGTTGTTAACCTAAGCTGGTTATTCAGTTGTTAATTAAGCTGGTTATTTCAGTTGTTAACTAAGCTGGTTATTCAGTTGTTCAACTAAGCTGGTTATTCGAGTTGTGAACTAAGCTGGTTATTGTGCAGGTGGCTGTTGAAGCTGGTAAGAAGTTCTACACAGTTAAAGAGGGAGGAGATTGTTACTATAAATGTTGAGATTAACGTTGTACCAACACCAGCTGCGGATAAGATTACCTGGGTTAAAGTGCCCAACAAGAAGGTAATTAATTAATGGGAATCATAAATAATTAATTATTTCCACTCACACTTACAAGGAAATAGTGAAATAAATAGTGAATTAAATAGTGAATTAAATAGTGGAACTTTTTAAGACAATAAAATTATGTGCTTGTCTAACAATCCTCATCTACCCTCAGTTGAACGGAGACAGATACTCGCTGAGCGAGGACAAGACATCACTAACTATCACGGGAGTTACTGCCAAGGAGGCTGGAACATACAGGTAGGTTACTCATTATAAATGCAGTTGATGACTTTCATTTCATTTAATGATAATAGATGAAATGAAGTGTGTGCCCCAGGAATTTCAATTTTGTGCCCCAAGTGTGCCCCAAGTGTGCCTAGCTAGATTACCAACTGGCCATAATAATTATGTAACATGATCAATCTTGATAAAAGACATTCCGTTTCAGAGTGTCGGTGAAGTTCGAAGTGGGTGGTAAGAAGTTCAACAAATCCTCAGAACGTTATTGTTCAACTAGAAGAAGAGGAGGAGGAGGAAGAATCCGGCCTTGTCATGTAAACATTTTTATGGACATTTCTGAACATTTGACACATTTGGCAGGAGATTTAAACACTGTTTTTAAAATATCATATTTAGATACATATGCAATTGAACTTTTAGATTATTTTTAGACAAGCATTTACATAAATTTATTTTCGTTGTGTTAAGATCAATTCTCACTCATTTTCAAAAGCAATTCAAAAACGATTCCGTAATTCCTGTTTAAACCAACAACAAACAGAAAGCATTTTAAATTAAATTGCCATTTGCTTCAATTGAAACTAATTTTTATCAGTAACTTACTAATTTACAATCCTTCTTCGACTTCTCAACAAATAAACGGCTCATAAATCCTAAGTGCAAATAACCGGTCAATCGGGCAAAAATTGACCGAAAATGGGGCAAAAATAAAAACATGTGAATAAAACTAAAATCACCGTATACTATTAGTGACTGATAGTCATGTAGACTGATAGTCATGTAGACTGATAGTCATGTAGACTGATAGTCATGTAGACTGATAGTCATGTAGACTGATAGTCATGTAGACTGATAGTCATGTAGACTGATAGTCATGTAGACTGATAGTCATGTAGACTGATAGTCATGTAGACTGATAGTCATGTAGACTGATAGTCATGTAGACTGATAGTCCATGTAGACTGATAGTCATGTAGACTGATAGTCATGTAGACTGATAGTCATGTAGACTGATAGTCATGTAGACTGATAGTCATGTAGACTGATAGTCATGTAGACTGATAGTCATGTAGACTGATAGTCATGTAGACTGATGCACATTTTTGTGTAGAAGCTGGGCATGTAGCAGACAGCATTTCATAACATGTTGTTGGCCCTGTGTAAGGACAAAAAGTATCCTTCCCTTTTTGATACAAAGATACAAACATGCCAGTGAAACCAATAAGTTCATTTTATTTTGAATGATATATTATGTTCATGTACAGCTGATACGCTGGCTTATCTCTAGTGAAGCAGAAACCGTAACACCGTGTATATTATCATATGTTTATATTAAGGTAATGACAATGTTATTGCAGGCTTGGCACTGTGTGAACGGTTAATAACTGCAATATAAACAAACATGCAGTAACACCCGCAATGTACACCTTGTATTCGTGTTGATTATATTTAACTTTTAGTTTTCAAACTTTGTTTTACATTTTTCGCTCAGTATCGTTAATTTAAATCCAAGATCTAAATGAACTTCAAAACTATATTTTGATTTAAACAATTGAAAAAACGGACCCTTTCGTCTTTATCTCTACTGATTAGTGTGGTTTATCTTTACCTTGATAGTTGTTTATAAATCATTAGACCAAGGAAAATACGAAACTCTTATCGTGCTGAGTGCAATTATAAACTTATAAACAATTCTTTGCCTTTTTATTTTCAGTTACTTATTTATTTTAGTGTACTCAATAGTAAAATCCGCCCAAAACAAGACTGCAATATAACTAATAGCAGGGCAGGTTCATATTGGATGTTTATATTGGATGTTTCTCTTTTACTCTAGTAGCAGGGTGTAGTTTTCTCTTTGGTCATAACCCAAGATATGCCTGATAAAAACAGCAGAAAGTTCTGGAGAACTTTCACTCTTCTCTCGGTGCCCCAAAGACCACAGGTATAGGCGACCATACTGTATCACGTGATTAATATTATTATAAGATTAAATTATAAATAATAATATTATTAAGTTATTATAAGAGTACTTTACCAGTAAAACTACAATTCCGCATATATCAAATAGTTTAGAACATTCACTAAATAATCCTTTAGTTACAAACTACAAAAATAACCGTTTAGTTATAAGTGTGGTATTTTCAGTCGCAGCCTCAGCGGAGTAATCAGTGGGGAGATTGGGGGGAACAAAGACCTGGTATAACAGTAAGATATGTTAACTTTACCTGGTATAACAGTAAGATATGTTAACTTTACCTGGTATTACAGTAAGATATGTTAACTTTACCTGGTATAACAGTAAGATATGTTAACTTTACCTGGTTTGGACTGATTGCATTCTAAATATCTACTCCATTAATCATCAGGTAAGCACACAAGGAGATGAAGAAGAGGAGTTAAGAGATCCTGATAGAGTCAGCAATGTTTCGTTATCAGTCTTCTTCTAGAGACCCTGGTTAGTGTATCTCCATTTCGGACTTTACTGGAAATTAACATTTTATACAATACCAATTTCAAAATATTCTGAAACGATAATGACAATCAAAAAATGAGGAAGATTAAAATCACGGGGAAAAATGAGTGAAACAAATATTATTACATGCGTAAATGTTTTGATGTGCTAAGAAGCTGTTTCGCGGGGTATCCTCAAATAGCAAACGTTAAAGTTTAGACACTTAAAATTTATCCGAATGAATTTAATATACAATGAATTTAGTAAACAATCTTTTGAATCTTGTTTTCAGAAGAAATATGTGGAATATGTGAACGACACTTCAAAGAGCTGCCTTGGGGACAGCTACTGAAAACTAACGTGTGTGGTCACGTGATGTGCCATCCTTGTTACATTAAGGGCGTTATGGACGGTAGAAGCTGTGCTGTCTGTGACAAATGTAAATATACCTCATTCTTAATAAGAACCTTTATTAAATAAGATGTACTTGACCTCTCGAGATAGTAATACCATTAAATATGTAATAAAAACATAAATCTATTCCCACCAGTGTTTGCTATCAAATATTTCCTAAGACTTACTGATCAGTAACCATGGTAACTACTTGATCAGGGAATGAAAGAAGGCAGAGAGGTAGCACTGCGGTCCAGAGGGAGGGACTTCAGAAGGATCAGCCCAGGGGACCCTGACCTTCAGATCTAAAAGTGAAGCAACTCTCCACACCCTAGAAGACTGGTCAAGAGACCATATCACACCTGTCTCGAAAAGAAATTTAGCTTAAAATCAAGAAGTGTTAGTTCAAGCAGTTCCACCCTCATCACTGGAAAAATATTCAACATATTACAATAGTTCATACGACGAAGCAAATACAATAGATCAAGACTCAGAAATAACTGATTATGAAGCAATGCTTTTAGAAGACACATCATATGAGAGCGAGAGTTCATTTGAGAGCTATTGGGTACCAGATAACGTGGAAAAAGAATATCTAAGTTCGTCGAGAAGTAGTGATGATGAAGAATTCGAAATTATAGAAAAAAGCACTGCTAACACTATTTATAGTTCATCTAGTTCTTCAGTGACTAAAGACAGCCAGAACAAAGTTGGTCCTGGTGAATAAGGCGATTCCATCGTTTCCAGTCATACGAGAACCCACATCCATCATCATCGTCATCAACAACCACGACAAAGAGCACAAGTCCTCCAGCCATTTCGGAGACCGGCACAGGAGTTTCATCTGGACGTTCTCCAGCTAGCAGCACGGATAAAACTGACTTCGCTGAGTCTGATCCTTTGCAGGGCAAGGATGGCTGACACTCTCAGTTCCTTCTCTGATGTAAAGGATCCGATGAAGACGATCAGGTGGTCCGTGCTCCCCGAGTTATGTCCGATCCTGTCATTTTCACCGAGATTGGCGAGCCTGCGGAAAGTTCGATAAAGACATTGGTCTGGTTGGTCGGCACATGCAGAAGAAGAGGTGATCTACCTCGACGAAGGTCACCACGTTCAATCACCTGCTCCAGGTGACAGCACCAGCCTCTATTTCGCTGGACAGCAAGAGTGTCCGGCACGCATCGGTCGGCAGAATCAGCCATTACCTTGAATCACTAGGTGACTCCACTTCCTTGGACAGGGAGTCACTGTCGCTAGGGCGATGGAGACATTAGTGAAGCCGAGTGATGGATATAAGGCAAGTACAAGTACGTCACCGACACGTTTTGTCTGGCCTGTCGAGGATCATCCTCGTCCCTGGTCAACCACATCATCCTTTTCGTCGTCATCCGACGATTCTACTTCTAGTTCAAGTTCGTCCAGCAGTGATAAGGCGATTCCTTCGTTCCAGTCATACGAGAACCCACTCATCATCATCGTCATCACAACCACGACAAAGAGCACAAGTCCTCCAGCCATTTCGGAGACCGGCACAGGAGTTTCATCTGGACGTTCTCCAGCTAGCAGCACGGAATAAAACTGACTTCGCTGAGTCTGATCCTTTGCAGGGCAAGGATGCTGACACTCTCAGTTCCTTCTCTGATGTTAAAGGATCCGGATGAAGACGATTCAGGTGGTCCCGTGCTCCCCGAGTTGTGTCCGAATCTGTCATTTCACCGAGATTGGCGAGCCTGCGGAAAGTTCGATAAAGACATTGTCTGGTTGGTCCGGCACATGCAGAAGAAGAGGTGATCTACCTCGACGATGGTCACCACGTTCAATCACCTGCTCCAGGTGACAGCACCAGCTCTATTTCGCTGGACAGCAAGAGTGTCCGGCACGCATCGGTCGGCAGAATCAGGCCATTACCTTGATTCACTAGGGGACTCCACTTCCTTGGACAGGGAGTCACTGTCGCTAGGCGTTGGAGACATTAGTGAGCCGAGTGATGGATATAAGGCAAGTACAAGTACGTCACCGACACGTTTTTGTCTGGCCTGTCGAGATCATCCTCGTCCTGGTCAACCACATCATCCTTTTCGTCGTCATCCGACGATTCTACTTCTAGTTCAAGTTCGTCAGCAGTGATAAGGCGATTCCTTCGGTTCCAGTCATACGAGAACCCACTCCATCACATCGTCAATCAACAACCACGACAAAGAGCACAAGTCCTCCAGCCATTTCGGAGACCGGCACAGGAGTTTCATCTGGACGTTCTCCAGCTAGCAGGCACGGATAAAACTGACTTCGCTGAGTCTGATCCTTTGCAGGGCAAGGATGCTGACACTCTCAGTTCCTTCTCTGATGTAAAGGATCCGGATGAAGACGATCAGGTGGTCCGTGCTCCCCGAGTTGTGTCCGATCCTGTCATTTTCACCGAGATTGGCGAGCCTGCGGAAAGTTTCGATAAAGACATTGTCTGGTTGGTCGGCACATGCAGAAGAAGAGGTGATCTACCTCGACGAAGGTCACCACGTTTCAATCACCTGCTCCAGGTGACAGCACCAGCTCTATTTCGCTGGACAGCAAGAGTGTCCGGCACGCATCGGTCGGGCAGAATCAGCCATTACCTTGAATCACTAGGGGACTCCACTTCCTTGGACAGGGAGTCACTG